AATTTATTATTATTATTATTTTATTTTATTTCTTTTTATTTTTTTTTGTGATAAACTTTGCAATGTGTTGTGATTGTGGAGAGCTGGCTACTGGTTAATATTAACCAGTTATTTTTTTAATAGTTGTAAAAAATAAGTAATATGTAATAAAAAATACAATTTCAATATATTATTTTACCCAAATATTATTTTTCAGTAGTGGGGTTAGATGGCCTCATTGATGAGTTTTAAAACTAAATGTTTCTATTTATTTCCCATAATAACACATTGTCTGATGGATCATCATTCTGTACATGCTAAAGATCCATAAAACGTCTGTTTTGATTGATTAAATGCCTTTAAATAGGGCACACAATTTATAAAAAGCCTTCAAACTGAAAGAAATTTGAATGTTTGTTTTTCTGTTTAATTGGCTGAAAGAAATTCAATCTCTTTGGACTCTCTTATTGATTCCCCATGCAGAGATTTGCTTTCATTCCTCTGGTTGTCCTTCTCTCCGTCTGGTTGACCTCCGTGACCTCAGCTCCTTCAGTCACTCTCCTCTGTCTGTTATGGTTTGGGTTAGTGCTGTTATAATGTATGTATATAATTGATGCATTTATTTTACTCAGACACTTTAGAAGAACTGGATTTATGAATGAATTACACTGACATTTATTCCAATATTAAAACCATATTCAAATACTTAAAAAAAAAAAAAATCGTTTTTCAAGCCATTATGCTTGAAAAACATTTTGTTGCTCAACTAGGGGAAAATGTTATTATTAATGCCAAGGTATATCAATTGAATTAGGCTTTTGCATTTGTAGTCCTTTTCTGACCCCTAGTTGAGTTTAAATTGCTTTTTAATGGTGGAAAGCCATGCTGTATTAGATTTCCTTTCTCCTTCTGAGCGTTGCATGATACGGTCTGAGGCCTCGTGTTCACTGATTTATAGCGTATAATTATTCCTGTTGTGAGCACATTACATGCTTATTTAAAATAGTGTTTTGGGACTGACTTGATTTCAGGAATCACTGAATTAAATTTAATTTATGGTTGCAGTTACTCTACAAATGTTAAATTAGCTGATGGTCTTGTTATAGTCACACTGTGTTTTCACTTTTCACATGGGAAAGAGTGTGTTTCTCTTTCTGAGTTCAATGTTCTGTTGATTTCAGAACTCAAAACTGAAAAATCAGTATACAGAGTTTAGGCAATCACAGCAGAGGTAATTTGCATACAGGCATAGAAGTCTGAAAGAAATAGTTCACCCCCCCAAAATTAAAATTTGCTCTTTTTTTTTTAACCCTCAGGCCATCCAAGATGTAGATGAATTTGTTCCCTTTCAGTCGGTCACTCTCGACGTCACATCGGTAATGACTGACGAATTGGGATCTCGCTTAGAGAGACCAATCCACTTTGAGTGTAAACTAAACGAGCCAATGCACATTGGCATGCGATGATTGCATCCAGCTGCCGCTGATCGCAGCACGAGTATAACTAGGCAGTAGGTGCAATGCATACTCAGCTTTTTGCTTCGGAGCCGAGCAATCACACCATTTTGCTCCTGACTACTCTACAGAGAGAATAAGACTGAATGAGTTCAGCACGCTCTTTGGAGCTCTTGGTGTTGGCGGTACGGCACTTCAGCGGTGGTGTTTTCCCGTGTCGAGTGGGTTGCAAACATCAGGCTGCACTACCCCCTGTTTGTGTTGCAGGCGGCCATCTCCCCTGTGTGCTTCAGCATACTGAAAGAGCTTTTTCCCTAAAAGAGCATTCACGGGTATGTCTTTTTAAAGTCGACGTTGCGTCTTTTTAAAGACGACATTGCGTCTGGCAAACTCGACGTTGCGTCTTTGTAAAGACGACGTTGCGTCTTGCTACTGACAACGTATCACCCGTACGTTTCTGGATGTGGTCGTTACCTGGTTTCGGGTGATGGTCACGATCGCTGCCTCACATGTCTGGGCATTAAGCATGCGTTCATGGATGAGTCATGTTCTCATTGCAGGAAGATGACCATTTCGGAGTTGCGGGCCAAGCTCCGTTACCTCAAAAGGGGCGGTTCTCATCATGGCGGCAGTCAGGCGGGGGCTACTTCAGGTGGTCTGAGGGTAACAGTGGTCTGATGGGTGGTCTGAGGGCAACAGTGATGGCAAACCCTCCAGGGAACTAACCCTCGGGGGACCATCGCTGCTCTTGCACTCCGCAACCAGTTGAGCTGCCAAAGGAACATGTTGGGCCCTCTACAAGGAGCATACCAGCAGTATCCTTCGGTGCTCCTTCCGACGATCGGATGTCGATCGCTGCATCGGAGGGTGAGCCGAAGCTTTCTGGAGAGGAAGATTCAGCTGCACTGCTGCCCTCTGGGACTGTAGCAATGCCTGAATCGGATCCGGAAATGACGGCTATGCTTTCCCGGGCCGCTGTGAGGGTAGGGCTCGAGTGGAGACCTCCACCGTGTCCCGAGCCCTCAAGGATGGACGATTGGTTCTCAGCACCCCGCCCCAGAGCCATTCTTCCTGGAGGTACATGATGGGGCTTACCAGGTCGTGGAAGGCATCTTTTTCTGCCGGAAACCGACCTGCTAATTCTCCTCCCTCACCACTCTAGATGGTGGTGCAGCTAGGGGGTATACGGGGGTCCCCCCGGTGGAGAGGTCAGTTGCGATGCAGTTGTGTCCTAATACCACCTCCACCGTGAATTGCAAACCGTGCCTCCCCTCCCGGGTCTGTAGGTAATCGTCTGGTCTGTCCGGCGATGCTTATGTGGCCTGTGGAGAAGCTGCCTCCACCTTACACGCTACAGCATTACTGCCG